ATATGCGGGAGCCACCTTGTACCACCCACACGTGTTGGAACCAGAAATGGTACCTGACATTTGTCATGAGCACGCTTCAACATGCTCCTGTCGAGAGAACTCTTTTCATAGAACAGGCATATGCCAAGCAGCAGTAGTCAACCTTTTTGGCTAGTGGAACATCCTTTACTGCATCCTTGTAAGCGAGTTCAATTTTATGTGCAGTGCAATGGATGCCTTCCAACTCCGGTTTCTCTAGATCTCTTTTCAATTGAGCTATTAAACCATTTCTGCACCCAGTCATAACGCTGGCCCCATCTATACCAATGCCAACTAGCTTCTGCTTCCAAGTTTCACAAACACATTTCTTGACAGATGCAGCATCACCTCTCTCAATATTTTTTACAGCAACAAAGATTACCTAGCATTAATAGTGTATTCTCGATATGAAGCTCTTATACACATTCAGTGTGTCTTACCACTGTCATCAGCCCACTCGCCCGTCGGGCGATCCCAGACCAGAAAAATAGTAAAATCTTGTCGCCCTTATGATATTTTGGTCGCCTCAGGCGACCGGGCGTATGTGAATTTCTACCCGAGCAACAGCATCAACCACAAAGAACACCATCAACCACAGGCAACACCATCAACCAAAAGCAACACCATTAACCACAAGCAACACCATCAACCACAGGCAACACCATCAACCACAGGCAACACCATCAACCACAGGCAACACCATCAACCACAGGCAACACCATTAACCACAGGCAACACCATCAAAAAGCAAATAACACAGACCATGGTGATGAAGGAAGTGAGGAACACCATCATCCAACACCAAACAGTCTTCTCAACACACCACAATACAGCTTCAAGAATAAAATCCTGCCTGACAAACTTACTGACGCTCCTTGAAACAGTAACAGACTACAAGGACACCATTGGTCCTTCTAAGGCATCTGACAAAGTCCCGCATGCACGACTAGCCTCTAAGGTCCAGGCACATGGCATCACAGGCAAATTATTAAAGTGGATAAACAACGAGCTTAAAGACAGGCAACAAAGACACCATCAATGAAGTACATTCTGAATGGAAAGAGGTTCTCAGTGGAGCAACACAAAGATCTATCCTTGGACCCACCTTGCTTGTGATCTACATTAACGGCACAGATGCGAATATATCGAGCCACATCATTAATTTGCAGACGGAAAAAAGATCCAATGTATGGGAAGGTGGCAAGTCTAGGTGTTGCAAATGGTCACAAAACTGGCTTTATAGCAACTTCAACTCTAAGGCACTGCAACCTGGATACAACAACTCTGATCACAACTATTTGTTATTAACAATTTCCTGAATACTGTTGATAATTTTAATAAATAAAATCTAGACGTCATGATACACCAATCGGTAAAACTGACGCAACAAGCAGAGCAGCAGTGAAGAAAGTAAAAAGGATTATAAGTCGTACCTTCTAATACAAAGATACGTCATGTAACGCAGGTAAAGGAGATAAGAATATTCCTGGATGACAGGTGAGATAGTAGAGGTCATCAGACATAGAGATCATAACATTAAAAAATGGTAAGTCAAACAAACAATTTTGGAGGTTAAGAAACAATGGTCAGAGAGTCATAAAGCAAGTGAAATCAGAATAGCTACTGTACTTAAACAATAAGAGTGAGCAAAATAAAAATAACCCAAAAGTCCAGGATGCAACTAAAAACTTTTGGACACAACAACAAACTAAAAAAACAAAGTAGTGTTAAACATGAATGGTGATCTCTGTCACGGCGCACCTCAAGTTGCAAACTACTTTCATACAACAGTTGCCTCATATTTAGTTAATAAGTGTCAGCAACCTCAAACTATTAGTGAGAGGTCAGAAGGAAAGGCATCACTCCACACTGTCTTGAACTCCACAGAGTGGCAGAGGACTTTGTTCTACAGGAGTTAAATAAACTGGACCCACCCCTACAAGAGCACAACTAATGATAGCATCCCAACCAGGTTTTAGAGGGACTAAATTGAAGACATCAATAAAACATGCCAGAGTAACACCTATCTATTAGAAAGGCGACAGGTCTCGTTTAGGTAATTACAGACATGTTCGTATACTGTAAGGTGTATTATATATAAAATTCTAGAGAGAGTAGATTATGTTCTGGTGGAAAGATATCTCCATGAATATAATATTTTATACAGCTACCCATTAGGCTTTAGGGGTTCTCACTCAACTGACAACAGCTTGATTCATCTCACTAAATAGATCAGATCCCAAACAGCTTAGGGAAATTACACAGGTATGATAACACTAGATTTTTGACACAGTTGATCATAATAAATTGCACTATGTGAAAATTTGCATACTCTTTGCATAGGGTCTGTTGACTAATTTAGCTGCAGGAAACCGATTGTTGCTACTAATAAGTCAACATGCCAGTAGGACCTCTGCTTTTCCTGTGTTATGTAAACAATTTGCCCATTAGTGTTCATAATAAAATTTTGCTGTATGTCAACAACAGTGGTCCTTTAGTGGCAGGTAAATGATACAGCTAACGAGTTATTATCTGAACTGGAGTCATACAAACAGTGGCTCATAAAAAAACAAATTATCCCTACATCCTGGAAACACGGAAGCAATATTATTTGAACCCCCAAAAAACTTCAAAGGGTAAAGGAATGAATTACCCTGTACAGTACTATGTGGTAAAGAACCATCTCAACTGTAGCCTCAGAGAAATACCTTGGACTAACTCTTGTTTTATTGGTGAATTAATCATAGACAACATATACTGTATAGTGTTGTTAAAAGTAATACAAGGATAAAATTTCTTTACAGAAATAATAAATGCCTCTGATACTGGGGGCCCAGGAGACTAGGTTTGGTTAGGTTTCAATGGTGATTTGGAAGTTGAAAATATGAGAATATTTTTTTCTTTTTTGGGGGTGAGATTTATTCATACCTGACCTTCATTTCTTGTGCAAATGAGCGAATTTTGTCCAAAAATTAAAAAAGATTTTCTTCATTTTGGGACAAAAATCACTCATTTGCACAAGAAATAAAGGTCAGATATGAATAAGCCTCACTAAAATACACTCTTGGAACAACCTGCCAGAGAGTGTTGTGAGGGCACCGAGTGTGAGCTGTTTCAAGACCAGACTTGACCAACACTGGAGCAGGTTAAGTACATTCAGGAACCGGTGCATGCCCAGAACTTGCCAACAGTGCGTAACAAAGACGTGACCGATCTCCCAAGTGGCAAACGAGCCGATCAGTGGTGAAGAGGATAAAACAAAACAAACAAAAAACATATTCTCATAACTAAAGGGAGCCACAGCTATTAAACGAATATTTAACGGTGAGATTAGGTTGGGTTGGGTTAGGTTAGGTTACACATGTATATGTGTACTGATATTTGAGAGATATTAGGTTAAATTCCTGATGATCTTTTTATTTGATGTTTATATCTCACACTTTCTGCTATTTCAAAACTTGCCTATTTTGTGTCTTAGAAATTGCATATTTTTAAGTGAAAAATTTATATATATATATATATATATATATATATATATATATATATATATATATATATATATATATATATATATATATATATATATATATATATATATACATATATATATATATATTTTTTTTTTTTTTTTTTAAACCAGCAGGAAAATTTACATTCAAAAACATTTTTTGGACAGTGCATGAAACCAAAAATATCAAAATTTCCAATGAAAACATAAAGAAAAGTAGCAGTATTCTTTTTTTATCTCTCCCAATATACACATCAGTACAGTATAGCGTTCCATGTAAGGATACTGAATAATACACATCAGTATAGCGTTCCATGTATGGTCACTACTGAATAATTACAGTCCGTAATATAATCTACCCTAACCTAACTGGGGTGGAGCTTCATCAGATGATCCTAAATAATCTTCACTAACATTAATATTCTTGTGAATATTTTACAAATTTGGAGGCAACTGAGGACTATAATCCATTAACCCTTTATGGCTTACTGTGTTTACCCATTGCCGACACAAGTATTTCAGAGCATAAAAACCACAATGAATTATGTACTGGTGCACTAACCATATACAGTACTATTAGCATGAACGGCCCAGTCTATATTATAGGCTAAAATAAAAAATTTTGAGGATGATTCGGTGTTACTATAGTATGTCTACTGAGCTGGAGTTGTTCTCCAGCGATATTTACAGTACGGCGTCCATTAAGGTTTGCGACAGCTAGTGTAAGGTTGGTCCCTACTGTATGGGGGTCTCTTGTGCTCAGTAATAGTGTCTGGTGTTAGTCAACTAAATGTTAAATGCTGCAACCCCGGAGTGAAGGTTAAGTTATGGTTTTAATTTGTCTGCATGTCACTATTATCAGGTTAAGTTCAGATGCTGCACCACCACACACACTACACACACACACACTACCACCACACACACACTACCACATACACTACACACACACTACCACCACACACACATACTACCACCACACACACACTACCACTACACATCACTACCACCACATACACACTCGCATACTACCCACACACACACACACTACCACACACACACACACAGGACACACAGGAGAGGGAGGAATAGGTCGACACACACACAGGGGGAGGAGGCAGCAGACGACGCGGCAGCAGCAGTATGAGAGAGAACGGGTTCTCCCTACACCTGGGAAAACAGTCATATCCGCCTGAGTTGCCTCATCAGAACTGGATGTTCCTCCCACAGAGATATTAAGGAGAAATCCAGACATTACCTACATCCGGCACTGTCCTGGACGTGGCACTAGATATGACACTGGCTTGACACTGGCACCAAAACACGTCGTGGCCGGGAGGGGCACTGCCACGGACCACAACACCCGCCCTCATTCACTGCACATTTTCCGACACTTTGACACACTTCTCTGGCTGTTTGTTTAGCCGTGGGTATACTCGAAGGCTTCATAGTACAGTAGGAGACTGTGTAGGCTTACCTATCACTTCTCTCAACTCGTAGTCTTCCTTTGTATTAGGCCAAGGTTTGTCATCGGCCATTTTGGACTCGCCACAAATGCTGCCTCGGTGTGGCCGCGGCAGCTGCTGCAGGGCGGCGGGAAGCTCCAATGACGCTGACTTTTTCCTGTAGGTTCCTGGCGACCCCGGCGGCATCAGACCCGGGGTAATCTTTCTGAAATATAAACAACCCATATAAATTATCTCATAAAGAAATCAAGCAACGATAACTTAAATCAATTGTTATGTTCTCTATAGCGGGGCTTACTCGCGCAACCCCGTTAATGTGACTTGTATTACTCATTATTTAGTGTAATAGTTCCTGTACCAACACCCAACTTATCTTTACACGCTCACTTCCTTAATAAATCTCACTGTAAAATAATATCAATAATTTTATGAGTGAAGGAGCAGAGGTGTGTTGATAACGAGACGGAGTAAGTTTAAAGTCCAGTCTGCTGCTTTAAATTAAATAAAGACTTATTTAGGTCAGTTCAGTGTGAGGTGGACCAGTACCACTACATGAAACCTCACAAGTACACTTATAATGCATTAATTTACACACAATTTGTTATTTATTTCACTCAACCAAACAGGAGGAGGAGAGCCTCAACCTGACAGTTTCCAGTTACCATTTTTTATGCCCGATCGACGTTTACCTTTTTCTCGTTATAAGAAGCCGCTAGTTGTTTTACCTCTATGATAAACTTATAAATATTATCTACAACACATAAACACATACAGACAAACAACTTATCTTGCCAATATAGTAATACACTTAAATCACTAGAATATACCGGAGCGATTTCACAACTTGGTGAGTCTGCACCCTTGCTCATATTGATTCTCCTACTGTAATACTTAACTCACACAAGGATATATTAGACACACACACACACACACACATACACACTTCTACTGACATACCTAAACTTGAGAAACAACCCTCTGCACAACCGGGACTAATATAAATGAAAAAGAGCGAAAAACAGCGAAAGGTTTACACAGGCAGCATTGATACAGTTAAAAGCTGTAGAACGCTTGCGAGGTGATAGTGTTTTTATAAGACACGTTTAACACAGATATTAACCTAACCTAACCTAGCCTCACTGTGAGTTAAGGTAGTGATGGTACCATAATTGAGCTTGTGGTAGTGCATTACAGAAGAATAGCAGTGAGTGTTGGTGATGGAGAGATAAGATGATGGCCCGCCGTCTCCACCAATTGCTGTGTTGGCACTGCGGCTCCACAGCCTCGATAATTAACACACAAGGACACACTCCATCATTCTCTACCAATACTATTGACGAATGTGTGTGTGTGTGTGTGTGGCCACCAATCATGGCTGATACACATACATATAAATAATATAAGACACACACACCTGCAGTAAGACACACACAATGAACTCCTAGACACAGATTGAACCTGAATACGAGGTTAATTAGGTTAGGTTAGGTTCGCCGATACAAGAAAACACGTGGTAGCTTATAAAATACAAGAAGCATGTCTGGATATTTCTACTTGTTGTCTTGTCACTTTACACATTTAATGTATCGATCCCTCATAATCCAAGCACAAAAGATAGAGGAATAATAATAATAATAATAATTTGTATGGACACACCCGTAGTGAAGTTCGGTACAGCTGTGGTCATGTTTACGCAATAGGTGAGTGCGTGTGTGTGAATGAGAGGCAGTCGTAGGAAGGTGTGGTGGGTGGGAGGGAAGGAGGTACTGTAGTGGATTCCTCCCCTACAAACGCCGTTTGTCGCTGAGTAGCCGACCGTCTTCGAATTCCCCAGTGTGTGCCTCGTGGCCTAGGTCGGTAACCAGCGTCGCCTAACAAAGCGGAGGTCAACTATCAACATAAGAACATAAGAAAATAAGGAGTCTACAATAGGCCGGATGGCCTGTGCATGGCAGCTCCTGTCGAGAGTTACTACCACTCTCTATCATCCATGAATCTACCCAGTCTCCTTTTGAAACTTCCCAGCGTTCCAGCACTTACTACAAAGTTGCTAAGCTTGTTCCACTCGTCCACTACCATATTTGTGAACCAGTTCCTTCCTATCTCCCTCCTAAACCTAAACTTATCCAACTTAAATCCGTTGCTTCGAGTCCTATCCTGCTTTGATATTATAAGAACTTTATCTATATCCCCTTTATTGATTCCTTTCACCCACTTAAATACTTCTATCATATCTCCCCGCACTCTTCGTCTTTCTAGGGAATGCAAGTTTAGTTTCTTTAACCTATCCTGATTTGGAAGGTTTCTAAGTCCCGGAATCATTTTCGTCATTCTTCGCTGCACCGACTCTAGTGAATTGATATCCATTCTATTATAAGGGCACTAGAACTGAACCGCATAATCGAGGTGCGGTCTGACTAGCGCAAGATATAGTTGCAATAAGACCTCTGCACACTTAATACTCTGTTTGCCTTATTTCGAACATTAAAGCGCTGTTTTCTAGGCCGTAGGTCTGGGCTTACAAGTACCCCTAGGTCTCTTTCACAAGTCGACTTCTCAACCCACGCCTACCCCCGCTATATAAGACCTCACCCCGCCGTGACCTATCTCTTTCTACCTACAGCCACCAGCAAGCAACACCTCCTCCTCCACTCCTGCCTGGTGGCCCTCGCTCCCGCCGGCGACTATGCCGCCCTTCAAGCTGCCTGTCCTCCTCTGAGCACCCTCACCAACCAGCTCTCCTGCACCACGCTTGGACTCACGCTGCCACCCCCCCAGCACCAAGCTGCATTCTACATCCAATACAATATGAATACAGAGAGCACATTGTGAGTTTCCTTTCTCCACCCCATCCTGAGTGTGAACCAATATCTCATAACCCCACAGTACTACATAAGCAGTGGCCATAATAGAGGGCGTTACACACAAATACACTGATCACGTGAGAAAAATACATATCATGGAGGCTGAACACTACTATAATACTACATGTACTACTACTACAACTGTTACTTCTATTACTATTACTCCTCTGCTACGTGAAACAACCCATGCTGTATCGCTTCCACTCATCAGATTACTGTATATCAACTATAGTTTGCTGTAAAATGTGAGCATATTTATATTGAAAACAAATAAACCAATAACACGTGGTAACATTATAGTAAAGGTATGTATTTACTAACATAATGATACTTGTAATAATCCAGATGATACAAAATTTTTCGAATGGTCTGAAAAATGGCAGATGAAATTCAACGTCGACAAATGTAAAGTACTCAGTATAGGAGATGTAAACAGGGAAACCAGATACCAGATGAACAACGATGCCATAGAGAAATCCGACTGCGAGAGAGATTTAGGAGTAATGATAAGTAGGAACCTTTAGCCAAGTAAACAATGTGTTTTTGCTCGTAACAAGGCTAATGAAGTACTTGGGTTCATACAAAGGAGTGTTAGTTACAAGACTAGCGAGGTCATCCTAAAACTGTATCTTGCTCTTGTGAGACCACACCTGGATTACGCAGTTCAGTTCTGGTCACCGTATTACAGAATGGATATAGAATCCTTGGAAAGAATTCAGAGGAGAATGACAAGACTAATCCCGGGCATTAGGAACCTTGAGTATAGAGACAGGTTAAAGCATCTTAATTTGCACTCCCTTGAGAGACGTAGAGCGAGGGGCGACCTGATAGAGGTGTATAAGTGGAAGGCAGGGCTAAACAAAGGGGACATTACAAAGGTACTCAAATTATCCAACCAGGAGCGAACTCGTAACAATGGTTTTAAATTAGACAAATTTAGATTTAGGCGTGAAATAGGTAAACACTGGTTTGGAAACAGAGTAGTGGATGAATGGAACAAGTTACCAAATATCATCATTAACTCGAATACGCTGAATTGCTTCAAACATAGGTTGGATGCTTATATGAGCAATAGGGGTTGGGTGTAAACGGGACAGCCCAGTATGGGCCAATAGGCCCGCTGCAGTTTCCTCCATTCTTATGTTCTTATGTTAAGTGGACAGTATTATCAGGTACCAGTGAGAGGGTTCAGGCTCTCACTTGGTTTAGCCATGTCAATGTTGTTGTTATTATACACTCTGTATCTGTATTTTCTGGCTAAAAAACTGTTTCAAAATCACTTCCAATATCAACCACCACTGCTGCTAATATTATTTCTATTACTCTTGTTATTATTACTGCTACTACTACAACTACTATTTGGTGTATGAAGGGACGAGGTGTGTGTGTGTGTGAACATTATTAATACATCCTTCAGGTTTTATCAAGTTCTGTATTATGTTTAGTGACATAATTATTGCTGAAAACTAAAAAACTTAAAATTAATTTTACTCGTGTTTTTTCATATAAATTTTTGAAAGTATATATTTTTTTTTGCATCGTCAAATTAAAACAAAAGGCAAATAGTAAAATAAAACATTTTAACTGATACGCATCATATTTAAAAATTCACCTTTCTTGAGTAAATTATTAATAACAAAGTTGTTCCCAATAATTTTGGTAAGTGGGTTTTCCATTGCCATAAGTGATGAACCAGCTCTTGACCCATCGTTTGTTATTATAAAGGGTCGTCAGCCTCACTAACGCGGTATGCAAACTTCACTGGAAACTTAGCTGCACCTTTTTGTCGCACATTTAATCGATCAGAGTGAGACAGGAACACAAATATCTACTTAGTTATCATTAATATTTTGAGTAATATCCCACAACTACATCTTTATAATGGGATCAATCACACCTACTCAATTTTAACTTACACAACCTACTTAAGAAAAATATATACTTTGTATCACTTCACTTCAATGGTCACAAATTATATTCAAAGGATTTAGCTTGTACTAAAATAGGATATTTATTGCGAAATGTATATAAAAGAACGATGAAGGTCACATTACCATGTAAGCAGACTAACAGTTATGACGTGGAGCCTTGAACACACTGCCTACTTGTAGAGGCTGAGTGAGTGTGTCAAGACCGGGACAGATACTACCACCAACACTGCTACCAATACACGACCAATATTACTTTATACTTGATCCACTTCACCACTGATCGGCTTGATACCAGCTTGGGTGGTCAGTCACGTCTCTGTTACACACTGTTGGCTAGTACTGGGCATGTACTGGCTCTCTGTTACACACTGTTGGCAAGTACTGGGCATGTACTAACTGACTCTCTG